GATGTGTCCCTTTCACATAGATGTTTCTCTCTCTTCCTCTCCCTCCCTCCCACTCTATCTGTACAAAAAATGGAAAAATGTCCTCGGGTGAGGATTAAAAAATAATAATAATAAATTAATTAATTAAAGTTAAACAAAACTAAAAATTCAGTTGCTTAGGCATACTAGCCACATTTCAAGTGGCTAGTGATGTTTTGGACATTTGCATCATCATAGAAAGTTCTAGCAGAGAACACTAATAAGACAAGGTAACAAATGAGTCCATGTAAAGTATGATCCTATTTATGATAAATATACATTTTATACATATATTAAAATGTGAGTTGATTAAACTGTCAATAGTGGTATCTCTGGGAAATAAGATACCAGGGGGCTTTCACTATATACTTTATTGTTTGAATTTTTAATGTACATATTTTACTCTTATAATGAACATAAGTAATAACATATTTCAAATGGAATAACAAACCAATCAACCAACCTCTTTCTTGAACTTTGTATTGAATTTGACTCCAATCTCCTCTGAGTTTATCAGTGACTCCTATATATTTATTGTGTACACTTGTGTTAATAAACAATCTCAAGATGGCACAGTATGTGTTCTGTACTTATAAATTTTCTGTAGTTTAGCCAAGCTCTGAAAAGGGTTTGTTCTGGGGCCCAAGGGTGATATCACCATTTCAGATGCAAGTCTGAGTGGACATTGATAACCTCAAATTACAGTTCTTAAATTGGGGAGGTTCCTTGGGCAAAAGCTGTTAACACATCTTTACATTTAAATTTATACAGTTGATAACATATCAAGTTTCAGAAAAGGCAGCTTTGAATTATCCCTTAAATTTTCCATCACATTTGAGAGTTGCATTTATTTTTGCATCTTCCCATTAATTCCACACGGTTGGCTAAGGATAATGGTCCCACAGCTACTCTCAACAACACACGGAGTAAGTCACAAGTAACAAAATACTGCACAGAAAGTAAGCTCTTTCCACCCCATCCTACCCAACCCCCTCACCAAATTGGAAATGGGAAAAGAGAGATTATGTTCTTTTTAAAAGAATTCCAAAGTTTTAATCTTTGCCAAATACCAGATCTTTAATTTTTCTAAAAAAAAAAAAAAAATCTAAAAGGTCTAAGAATAACCTTCAAACACTAAAAACTATTTCATATCTATCCTGGGGAATAATTCAGTCATTTATCTGCCAACAAAGGCATATTCATATATGCTTATTTTATTTCCTATATAAATATTCCTCCTAATCCACCATAGTGAATATTGAGGAAATGGCTCTCTGATTGGAAAGAAGATGAAAGACATCAATTTGTCTAGGGAATGTGCACCCTGAAAATCAGTGTTGGTAAAGCAAGGAGAGAGACTTGGTTTTGTTGCCAACTTAAATACTAATTTCTGTTTGGGACCAACTGTATGTTCCTGTCCCAACACTAGGCAATAACTATGCTCAACGTGGAATGGCAGGCTGAATAAGAGGTAATGACCACAGCCCAATGTATTTGACAAATGGAGAGGATGCATATCAGTGGTACAAGGACAAGAAGATAGTTAATGTTTACCTGTAGGAAGTCTTTGTAAAGGAAATAACAGTATTTTAAACAAGATTACTTTAGAACTTTTAATTTGCTTGAAAGTTTTCAAGTTCCTTCAAGATCTTTACAAAGACCTACTTCCTTCCTTCCCCTGGTCGTAATAATAATCATTTGTTAAAGCAAGTTACTTAAAGGATCTTTCTAGGTAATCCTGTTAGTTTAATTCTAATTGCTGCATAATATATGAAAATAATAAAACTATACTTCTTTGGATATAGATAGTCTAATTAAAATGGACAATCCCTTCCCTCCCCATGATTTTAGGAATTTCATGGAATGTTTATATTGATATGCTACTTTCATACTTGGATGGGCCAAAAAGCTAAAAAAAGAACACATTTTCCATGAAAAATAAGGTATAAAGAGAGTGAGATGCAAGTATTTTATAATACATAAACCACTGCTTTTAATTGAACATAAACCATATTTCATTTATGAACCTCCACCATTATGCACAAAATGAAATAATCTTTTTAGTTCATTAAAATAAAAGAAAAGCATACACAGTAATATTTACACTGGGGGCAAAATAATCTAATATGGTAATTTCCTTTTATCCGAGGCTCTAGTTTTAACTTAATATGTCTGAAACAACTAGTAAATACATTATATTCAATTGTGGGGTAAACTGTTTCGGGCCACAAGGGTACTATTTAGTAAATTACTGATTTGTGCACGGTACCTAGTGGTCTCAAAATGGTAATTCACCTTTAAAAGGTAAAACATTTACCTACTCATTTCCCCAAAAGTTCTTTATTTGTCACTTAATTTAAACTGGTGAAGAATAAAGAAGCCAAGCATAGAAAAGGAGGTCTTTCATATTTTTACATTTATAAATATGAGTCACTTAAGAAAAATAAATCTAGGTTTCTACTAGCCATATTATCAGTGCACGAGCCAACAAACAAAAACAAAAAACACCAAATCACAATTAATCCCCCAAATTTGGCAGATATTACCTAAATTTAAATCCAAGAAAGTAGTCCAACAAGCACAGCAACTTGGATTTTTACTAATCTCCTTGTGTCTTAATAGACTACTATAAATCCATGATATCAATCTCCTTCATAAGGAGCTATATTATCTGCTCTGGGCTGAAACATTTCAGTCCAGGGAGAGGTCCCTAAATATATATATATTTTTTTATCCTCACCCAAGGACATTCTTGCATTTATCCTCAGATAGAGCAGGAAGGAGAGATGGGGGAAGAGAGAGAGAAACATCAATGTGAGTGAGACACATCCACTGGTTGCCGAGGTACGTGCCCTTAGCGGGAACTGAATCCAGGACTCTGGCCTGCCGGCAGACGCTCTAACCGTTGAGCCAAAGCAGCCAGGGCTTCTTTTTTTTTTTTTTTGGACGTCCCTAAATTTTGAGTAAGCATGCTAATACACATTTAATATGCTGATGTACAAAACTAAAAACTGAAGAGGGCACGGAGATGACTTTGGCTGCTAATCTGGGAACTTCACACAGCCTACAGCAAGGCTGCTGAGGACAGGCCCAGATCAACAGGCACAGCAGAGATGAATAATTCTCTGTATAGTGGACATTCTTGACTGTGTAACCAAAGAAGTACTAATCAACCTTCAAAAGAACAAGAATAATAAGCAGAAATTACAGGGGAGAAGGGCAAAGCCTTAGGTTTGCTCCAGAAAAATAATGGGCAGGTGCTGAAGTTCCAGGGGAATCTACCACATTTGCACCTGGGCCCATTTCTGGCCATTGCTACTGTATTAAAAACATACCTACACTTAGATCTATCATAAGCAAATTTCTTTAACTGCATAAACAAAACGCAGTCTCAGATTTCTGTAGAATGTCCTTTCCTCTCTTTTAAAAAAGCATTCTAGATTTGAATTATAACACTGGGTACTTAAAGCTGCCACTAAAGTTTTCACTGCAAAAGTAGTAATAAAAAAAGCGACTAGCACCCTGGCCGGTTTGGCTCAGCGGTAGAGCATCGGCCTGCGGTCCAGAGACCCGGGTTCAGTTCCTGCTAAGGGCACGTACCTCGGTTGTAGTTTGTCCCTGGCCCTGGTTGGGTCATGCGGTGGCAACCACTCCATGTGTCCCTTTCCCGTGGATGTTTCTTTCTCTCTCTCTCCCTCCCACTCTATCTGAACAAAATATCAAAAAATGTCCTCGGGTGAGGATTAAAAAAAAAAAAAAAAAAAGCAACTCGCAAATGAAATATCCATTTAGCCAGCTTTTCTTGCTCTCTTTTAATATTTTATAACATATTTAAGCTCAGTAAAAGTTCCTTTCTTAAATCTTCAAGCAGACGTTAAGTAGAATGCGAACCTTTATACTTTAAATCACCAATCATTTAAGGAATCCTCTTCAGGAAATGAATAAATAAGCATTCTGTGACTAAGGGTTCCTTTATCATGGTTTTAAGCTGACCCACTTCATCAGTCACCACGGTTTGCAAATCTCACTTCCAAGTGGCAGCACGAAGTGCTCTGTCCCTGCGCATAGTTTGAATCCAACAGCGAAAAGCGTAAACACCACCTTTAAAAACGCCAGTCTTTATTTAAAAGGATCCCCCGCCCCTGAAAAAAAGAACTTCAATACCACCCTTAACCGGAAGCGATCTTTTCTCTAACCGAGAGCCAATGAAGTCTGCGGGGGAGAACAGGGAGGCTGTGAAAAGGCAGGAGAAACCCGATCAGGTGTGAAAACGCACTGTGCATTTGGCCTTGAAGATCAAAAGCGGGCCCTGCAAGCCCGGCTGGTGAGGACTAAGGGGCCTGACCCCAAGACCGACAGCAAATCGGGGGATCGGACCCGCTCCAGAGAGCTCAGCTGACACGGCCTGCAGACGCGCTCCGGGAGGCCACCCTGCGTGTCGCCGGGGGCGGACAGGCCAGGACCCCCGGGCGCTCCTGTTCAGGGCGCGGGGGGAACACAACTTTCTGCAGTTCCCCGCCAGCAGAAGCAGGGGCAAATCTAAACCACTGGCCTGCCAGCGGCTCCTCTTTTATTTCTTGTGGCGGCGGCAGCTGGAGGAGGGGTGGGAGGGTCTGGAGGGACTTCAGGAGAGGATGACAAGGAGCGAAGAGAGGACGACGACTCCCACATACCGGGCCGCCATAAAGGGAAGGGGGCCGCGCCTCCCCTCGGTCCCATCGAGTCACACGGGCTGGATGGGAATGCGCGAGGGCCGGCGGCAGGTGACATCGGCGTCGCCTCCCCGCACCGGGGCCCCGGCCACCCCGCCCACCAAGGGGCCTCGCCTCCCCCACACCGCCAGCCGCGCAACCCGCCCTCTCCACGGGCTCGGCGCCGGGAGCACCCACGCGGGGACCCCCGACCCCTCAGAGCGGCCGCCGGGCGCCGCCCGCGCCCCCAGACCCGCGTCCGAGAGGAGCCCGAGGCGCCCGCGCGCCTACCCTTTGGCGTGCTCGGTCTCCTCCTCATTGTCCCCGTCTATCCCGCAAGTGTCCTGGTCGTCCAGGTCCAGGCTCTGCTGGCTGGCCGCAGACTCGCTGTCCTCCGCCATCGCGGCGGCGCGGGCTGCGGAGGCGGCGCTGGGGGCCGCCAGCGTGGGGGCCAGCGCGGCGGCGACGGCGGCGCGAGCAGAGCAGTTACCTCCAGTGCCGCACGCCGTCTCCTCAGAGCCGAGCCCCGGGCGCCCGCCGGCCTGGGCCCGCCCACCGCGCCGGGGGCGGGGCTGGGGTTGGCGCGCGGCGTGCCCCAGGGGGGCGGAGGGGCGGGGTGGGGAGAGCTGCGGCTGCGGCTGCGGCTGGGGGCCGGGGGCGGGGCGCCGGGCCCAGCCGGGATCCGAGCCTGTCCCACGCCTCGGCCCTGCGCCGGTCTCTGAATGCGGCAACCTTCAGATGCCAAATCCTGCGAGTCTTCGTTCTTGGATCACGGGCCACGCGATCTTACATCTCGACGTGTTAGCGAGCGCTTGTAACCACTGCAGAGATTTTTGACTCAGGAGTAGGCGTGCCAAGAGATTTCCCTAACTCTTCCCCGCGCCACCCCCATCTACACTTTTTAAAAATTCCATTGTATATCTATAGCTAAATTTCCCAGACAGTAGCAAATCAAAGTCAAAGTCAAAACAGGGCTTCTAGCCTTTCCACCTCCTTGTTCCAAACCAGGCTCGCAGCCCTAAACTCTCGACAGAAAAACTGGAGTGGCCCGTTTTCGCTGGCTCAGACCACAACAACCCTCTTGGAGGGAAATGGGGATGTCATCCAGGATACTGAGTTATGCTAGGGGACTGGACAGTTTCAGGCAGACCGCTGAGGCTTCCCCAGGTGAAGGTCATGCCCTAGACCTCCAAGCAAAAGTCAGTGGCTTTCTAGGTTGAAATGATCTCTTCCCGTAAACCGAGGAGGGAAAGGAGGTGCTCCATGGATTGCCACATAAGAGGCAGGTGAAGTTCAGATTCCTATTTGCTGTTGCCATCTGTACACAGCAGCCCTTCCTTTGCTTGTCTGTAATGAGTGGTGTTCAAGGTCTCGCCAGGCCACGGAAGGTTTTACAGAGGCAATGGAAAGATAGTTATCAGAAACTACTCAATGAGGGAAATACGATGTTTAAAAATCACCTCAAGCTCTGGCCAGTTTGGCTCAGCGGTTAGAGCGTCGGCCTGCGGTCGGGAGAGACCCGGTTCGGTTCCCGCTAAGGGCATGTACTTCGGTTGCAGTTTGTCCCCGGCCCTGGTTGGTCGTGCGGGTGGCAGCCACTCGATGTGTCCCTTCACATCGATGTTTTTCTCTCTCTCTCCCTTCCTCTCTCTCCCTCCTACTCTATCTGTACAAAAAAAAAAAAATGGAAAAATATCCTCGGGTGAGGATAAAAAAATTAAAAAAAAAAAAAATCACCTCAAATATTTTTGCAGAAGGTATTGGGAGCACTTTGTGGGGTTTTTTCCCTCTACAAGGGGGGTGGGAGAGTCTATGCCCTTAATATGCAATGCAATAGAAGTAACTAATGACAAAAACTGCAGAGCAGTTTCTAAGTCCACCAACCCTTTGTGACTGATGTTGAACCAGCTGACGTTCTGTAAGAAGTGCAAAATGGGGCCAAACATGAAGGAAATACAATGCTACTTTTCACAATTGCAACTATTTCTGAGGTAGAAAGTCACACCTGGCCTCTGGTTTCAAACTTTAAGATAAAGGCAAGTACAGATCAATGAGTTTACTGCAGCTCATTCCTGTAAACATGAAGAGTTGGGTAATTGTAACCTGGTTGGGTAACCAGTAGGGTCCTGACCAAATCTATTAGATCAGGCACTATAGCCTACCCGAAGTAGTCTCTGAAAGATTCCCTGTGCACTAAAAGGCTGTTGGTTTGATTCCAGGTCAGGGCACATGCCCTGGGGTTGTGGGCTCAATCAAGGAGTCAGCCCATCTATGTTTTGCTCTCACATCGATGTTTCTCTCTCTCTCTCTGTCTAAAAGTACAGTAAAAAGCTTTTTTAAAAAATAAAAGTTCTAAAATACAAAGCAAACTTAGCAGTCACATATTTATTTGAATGTTTAAGAAGTTTTGACTAAGAACCTCTCAAAAACAAGAAAACAAAAATAATCCCAGAGAAATAAAATGAGAGCACCAAAGACCAATTAAACACTAGAAAACAGTGACAGAGGATATCTGTTCCCCAGAATGGAAAAGTCTTGGCCCAGATGTCTGTTCAATACTGGATTGAAGTATTATATAATAGAAATGTTTGGCATTGTTAATAGTTTAAAGGAGGATGAAGTTTGCAGATGGTCCTAAATCCTATTGTCACGTATAGAAACTCACTATGCTTCTAAAAATGTTTGCTTCTTTCCCAGGTTTAATTCCAGAGTTTGGGGGATTGGAATCGAGTGGCATCTTCTAGAATCTCAGATCCAAGATTTATTTGGGGAAAGGGAGTACTGCAGAGTGGCTACCAGTGTGCTAAAAGGCCCTTAGTAGTTTATCTGCTTGACTCATCTGCTATTACAGATATAATACCATAGTTATATAATTGGTCTTGTTTTATTTAAACTATTATAACTTTTTTTTTTAATCCTCATCTGAGCATATTTTTCCATTTTTGTTCAGATAGAGGGGGAGGGAGAGAGAGAGAAACATAGACATGAGAGAGACACATTGAGTGGTTGCCACCCACAGAACACCAACAGGGGCTGGGGACAAACTGCAACTGAGATACGTGCCTTTAATGGGAACCGAACCCAGGACTCTCCAGTCCACGGGCCAACACTCTAATTGCTGAGCCAAACTGGCCAGGGCTGAACCAAATTTTCTTTTTTTTTTTTTTTTTATCCTCACCGGAGGACATTTTTCCATTTTTTGTTCAGGTAGAGTGGAAGGGAGAGAGAGGAACAGAGAGAGAGAGAGAGAAACATCGACGTGAAGGGACACATCGAGTGGCTGCCACCCGCACAACCGACCAGGGCCGGGGACAAACTGCAACCGAGGTACGCGCCCTTCGCGGGAACCGAACCCGGGTCTCTCAAGACCGCAGGCCGACGCTCTAACCGCTGAGCCAAACCGGCCAGGGCTGAACCAAATTTTTAATAATGAGAAGTAAGTATGTGTGCCCATTGCTCTGAAGAGATACACCATCTCTCTCTTCCAAGACTGTTCACTATGTAACTATCCTTGTAAAAGCCTGAAACAAAGAACAGTTAGTGCCTCGCTGTCAAGACATGGAGAAATATGCCTGAACCATGGAGACTGTCCCTGAACAGTATGCCTTATCTCCTCAACCCCATCACAATCTTCTTGAAGCCGGTAACCATACTAGTTCTATAATCCACATCTGTAGTGAGTTGATAGAGGTTCCCAAAAGATTTGTCTGTGTTCTATCCCTCTGTAAATGTGCCCTTGTAAAAAGGATCTTTGCAGATGCAATGAACGTAAGGATCTCAAGATGAAAGTATCCTGGATTACTCAGGTGAGCCCTATATCCAATAACAGGTCCTAATAGTGAAGCAGAGGGAAATCAGAGAGACAGAAGAGGAAAGCAATAAGTATTCGGGAGTGCTACTCACTATAATAGGCTCTGGAAAAGAAAAATTAAAGAGTGCAAGTGTTGATCCTCAACCCTCCTGTGGTTGATAAGCCACTGTTAGAAAAGTAAATAAGCCTCTTTAATAAATGGTACTAGGAAAATTGCACAGCTACATGCAGAAAAATGAAACTAGACCATCAACTTACACCCTACACAAGAATAAACTCAAAATGGATAAAAGACTTAAATGTGACTCATGAATCCATAAAAATTCTAGAAGAAACTGTAGGCAACAAAATTTCAGACATCATACGCAGCAGAATTTTCACTGATACATCACCTAACGCAATAGAAACAAAGGAGAAAATGAACACATGGGACTACATCAAACTCAAAAGCTCCTGCACAGCGAAAGATACAATCATCAAAACGGAAAGGCTACCCACTGTGTGGGAGAGCATAATTGCCAATGATATATCAGATAAGGAGCTAATTTCCAATATATAGAGAGTGCTCATACAACTCCATAAAAGGGAGACAAAGAACCCAATTAAAAAATGGGCAGAGGAACTAAATAGACACCTCTCCAAACAGGACATACAAATGGCCAAGAGACATATGAAGAAATGCTCAACATCACTAATCATCAGAGAGATGCAAATTAAAACAACAATGAGGTATCACCTCACACCTGTCAGAATGGCCACCATCAACAAATCATCAAACAACAAGTGTTGGCGAGGGTGTAGAGAAAAGGGGACTCTAGTACACTGCTGGTGGGAATGCAGACTGGTGCAGCCACTATGGAAAACAACATGGTGTTACTTCAGAAACTTAAAAATTGAACTTCCATTTGACCCAGTGATCCCACTTCTAGGAAAATACCCTAAGAAGCCTGAAACACCAATCAGAAAGAATATATGTACCCCCATGTTTGTAGCAGCACTATTTACAATAGCTAAGATCTGGAAACAGCCCAAGTGTCCATCAGTAGACGAATGGATAAGAAAGCAGTGGTACGTATACACAATGGAGTACTACGCAGCTGTAAGAAAGAAAGATCTCTTGTCCTTTGAGACGACATGGAGGGACCTGGAAAGTATCATCCTAAGTGAAACAAGCCAAACAGAGAAAGACAAGTATCATATGATCTCACTTATTTGTGGAATATAATGAACATAACAGTCTGAGGAATGGGGTAGTCCCAGAGACGTGGAAGTGGGGTACAGACTGACAATCCCCAGAAGAGGGGGTGGTGGGGGAGCGATAAACCACAGAACTTATATGCATGTATGCATGAATAATGGACATGGACAACAAAGCTGGGGACAGGGCAGGGAGGGAGAGGGAGGGGGGAATCAGTGGGGAAAAAGGAAAAACATCTGTAACAAAAATTAATTAATAATAAAATAAAATAAAGACCAAAAAAGAAAAGTAAATAATAAATCTAAGGAGGTATAGGGACTTGGTAGACATTTTCATAATGGGGGTAGGGGCACACATATACCACAGGGTGTAGCTGGGATAAACAGGATTAC